GAACAATATTGAAGAAATTCGAGGGGCATCGACGACATAGTAGACATAGTAGCCATATAATCAATACAAGACCTGTGAGGCAGAAGATAGATACATGATATGAAAAAGCTTAAGCCGAGATTGAGACAATGCTTCATGCTAATATTTAGCGCCTGAGTCGGTATAGCACCATGTCTCAGGCAAACATTACTAACATCACGATACCTAGCAATGCTTTCGCAAAACAGACCAGTGGGTGTTGACTGGAGTTGTGGTGAATGCGCTTGGTAGATGGCTGGGGTTGGTTCACAAGTTGTGTACGTGTGTTATCCCCTTGAAGCTGCAGAATTGAAAATGAGAGTAAGAGTATCGGGAAATCATGTGACATGAATTGTCACAACAACAATAGCTTCTACACTAAAAATACGCGTATCCCTTCACCTTGGATGGGGTCACATTTGTACTTCCGGGTTTCCTCGGCAATGGGGCGTTTTGTGGTTTACTTTCTTCGTATACCTTTACACGTCTGAGCACTCTACGCAGTATTTTCAGAAGTTCTGTATGGCATTATCTGGATTTTCAGAAGTTCAAGCTCGAGGCTGTTAAAAATTAAGGAGGTCATCTCAAGCTCAGCATACAAGGTTATGTTCAAAATGTTCATATTGGACACTCTTACCTTCTGTGTGATTTTCTTCTCTCCATCTGCATTGTTATCCTTCAATTTAAAAATGAGGAATGGGTGCTACATGGGCAGCAGTACATAAGAGGGACAATGTTACCACAAAAAGCTCATCACTTAAAAATACTCATCATATTGGGAATAAAAGAAGCGTGGGAAATGAGACCTGGGAAGGGATTTTAGTGTCTGGGTGAAGCCTATACTCGATCACCCAATTGGTCTTTACACCCTTGGCTCCCCGCCCTCGATGGAACACGAAGATTTCTCTACTTCCGATCACTTCATTGGCTCCTCGAGCCTTGATTGGGCGGGGTTCACCGGTGGATTTCCAGCTGCCAGTACCCGTGGTTCTTTCAATGTCCAAGGTGTTGGCCCGGAAGAAAAACCACTCAAAATTATCAGACGGGATGAACGATTTGTCTGCACAGGAACAAGGGAAAGGAAAGAATCAGAGGTGTGCTCCATCTTCAAAAGCTAAAATCAGGAATTTGATAAATACATACCTGGGAGTTGCTCGGGTTCGAACTTGTACAGATCAATCTCCTTGATAAAACTAACAACAGACTCGTTGCCATCATTCTTGTTCTTCAGGTAGTGGGTAATGAGCTGCTCCTCCGTGGGACGGAAAACAAAACCAGCCGGCAATGAAGAAAGATACGAAAATTCAGCGGTGGTGGCCATGGATTTGGTAGGAAGGGCGTCGGAGTTGGTGGTGGATGTTTATAACTATAACAACGGAGCAGGAGCAGGAGCAGGAGCAGAAGCAAGGAGGACTTGCATTGACTGGGTGGGGTGAGGTGTTTAAGTTGTCAAGGGAGACCACTTTCCTACAAGGTACGCATAATTAAATTTAGGTGCTGCCATGGCACAAGTCTTCGCACTACACTCCAACAGCTTTGAATTCGCTATTTCTTTGTACTAGATGTTAATAACACTGAGCTCATTATTTCATGTACGGATCACAATAATTTTTCTCCAATTTTTGTTCTCTACACGTTCTAAGAGGCAAAATTGCTATTTGGTCCATTGATATCAAGATTATTGAACCCATGAGGTCTTAAAAAATGGTCAAAGTCGGGGCAAAAGGGGCATTTTGCACCTCAGCCCACTATAGGGGTCTTGAGGATTTTCCACATATCACAAGAGAAAAGTGTGAGAAAGAAAGTTGAGAGAAAAGAAACTTGAGAGGGGAAAGCAAACGACCGGACTTCTCGTTGGAGAACCATTATCGAAGTTCATTTTCGACCAAGACTTACACACTGAAGTTTGTTCTTGAAGAAAAAGAGGACTCGTGTTGTTGAGGTTCCATTTTCCGTCAAGATCCAAGAGAAATTCGCAAGTTAAGATCTCGAACGTTTCTCTTAAGATCTGAGATCTTCCTTTAGGAATAGAGGGCTAAAGTTTGCTACCTTCATCTAGGGAAGATCCGCTACTGATTTCGTGAGGAAAATCAGACAAAATGTTGAGGTCGGAGAATCTTTCCAAGAACGGTAAGGATGTTAACGAACCTCTTTCCGATGCTCACAACTCGTCGTATGATTAAGTAAAAAAAAAAAAAAAAAA